GGGGTCTCATTTATCAGAGCGAATGAACTGGGAGTTAGAGCTTTAAAAGAATCTGAAGGGGAGGCAAGCACAAAAACCTGGTGCCAGCTCTGCACATTTCTGTATGCAAACATATATATTTATTTTCATTTAAACCCCACTTTTTTCTCCTCCAAGGACCTCAGGGTGGCATCCATGGTGTTCCCCTTCCTCATGTAACCCCCCCAACAACAACCCTCTGAGGTAGTTGAGACTGAGAGGCAGTGATGGGCCCAAAGTCACACCCAGTGAGAGATTCGTGGTCAAGTGAGTGTTTCAACTTTGGTCTCTGACCCACACAAGGAGAGGGCCTTGTTAAGCCATTAAGTTCTGTCCAAACATACCTTACTGCACCACAGTTGAGGAGTGGTGTCCCCCCCCCTTCCCAAATAGCCCTAGAGGCCCTCCAGACTCTTTTTTATTGTACATTCATTATTAGTAGTACTTATGATATTATCTGGGCAGACACTATCCCAATTTCAATACTGTCTGCATCTGCAAAGCATTCACGGCTGATACGTAGCTCCATTTCCAATCTGTGCAGGTCTTGTAATTCCCTGTGGAAAGCTGTGCTTTTCTTACTACAAAGTTTCCCGGGTATTTTTGTGTGTGCCCCTCCAGACACCAATAATACGGTAACACCAGAGAAGCATCACACAACAGAAAAAGGAAATTATGTGTGGATGTCCCAGTACAAAACCATCACTAATGCACTATTATTGCATCCATGACACGTTGCAGAATAATACGTACACCTGCTCCCCCACAAAAATAAAATACAAAGCCCCAGTCTGGAAGGGCCTGTCTCAAGCACAGTCTCCCATAGATAACTTGGGAGCTTCTGAGCATCCAACCTGCTCTCTCACCCGCGTGACCCCACTGTCAGGACTGTTTCTTGGTCACACTAGAATGTGATGGAATGCAGGGACCGGCTTTCATGTATGTGACTCATGATTCAAGACCTGAATTTCCCTTCTGGACTGTCAGTTGCGCTTAAGGTCTGTTTTCCTGGCAGCATCTGCTACCCTTTGCTAATTCCAACCCCCCTCCAAGCATCTAGAGCCTGCTTTAAGTGAGAAGGGGATGTTGCGGGTGGTGAAAGAGCAAGCTTGGCAGTGAAAGGAATAAATCTCCGCTTGCCTTTAAGGGCTTCTCCGTGTTTACAGCTTCCTCTCAGGGATGGCAAGGTACTCACTGAAACCTTAATGGCCTTCGCCGTGACGCTCCAGAGGCCAGCGGCTCTGAAGATTGCGCGGTTAACCTTGCAAAATCCCAGAAAGCGCTGCAATTTAAGACCCGGAGAAAAATAGGAAAATGCGTAGAGTAAATCAGAGCAGCTCACTCTAACAAAGATGTGTCAATGTGTGATTATCTACGGGGGCAGCACATTCATACCCACATTGTAGAACTTCCTGCATAAGGCTTTTTTTTTCCCTTCTTTTTTTGGGAGCAATGGAAGATGCAGGTTCCTGCAATGCTTCTGGGAGCGTCCAGTTTCAAAGTTGAAAGATACAGCTTCTAGGACACAGAACCGCACACATGGAGGCCAAATGCAGCCCTCCAGTCCTCTCTCTGTGGCCCTCAGAATGCTGCCCAGGCCACACACCCTTTGCCCAGGCCAAACCCCACATGGGCTCCTCTTTGCGCCCCAAGAATTTGTGCCTGGCTGGACTGTGCCTGAACACTGACAATGCCTCCTGCTTATTTGAATGGACACTAAAGAACAGCATGTGGGTGCATGTAGAAACTACTATCAATTATTACTAATTAAATTTATAAGTAGCTTATTTGCAACTCAGGCAACTTGCAAGCAAAAGCAACCATATACCGTATTTTTCACTCTATAAGACGCACCTAGTTTTTGGAGGAGGAAAACACGAAAAGGAAAATATTCTGAATCCCAGAAGCCAGAACAGCAAGAGGAATCGCTGTGCAGCAATCTCTCCTGCTGTTCTGGCTTCAGTGAAAGCAAGGCAAAGCCTCTTCAGGGCAGCAGGCTCCCCCTCCCTGAAAAGGCTTTGTGCAGCTATCCTAGAAGCCAGAACAGCAAGAGGGTTTGCTGCGCAGCGACCCGTCTTGCTGTTCTGGCGTCTGGGATAGCCGTGCGAAGCCTGCATTCGCTCCATAAGACGCACACATTTCCCCTTACTTTTTAGGGGGGGAAAAGTTTGTCTTATGGAGCGAAAAATACGGTACATAAATTAAAATGGCATAAGAGAGAACCAGTATGTTATGCAAAGGTTGAATTTACATGTGTTACTCTGCGTGCTTTTCCCTCTGCCCTCGCCCGCCACTGGGCACATGGCCTCTGGAATGTTGCCCAGAAGGGAATTTGGCCCCCTAGGCTGCAAAAAACCTTCCCCACACCTGCTTTATGGCAGCAGCTCCAGCTTTCAGCCTGGGTGCAAGGCACACCAGCACTTGGCTGTCTTAAGCAAAATTGCCGCCAAGGGCTAAGCAGCTCCAATAATCCTTCCTAGCAGTGGCAGGACCTCCATTACTCCGAGCCAATTAAAGGGGATGGATTGCATTTGGATTTGTCTACATTTAATTGCTGCTGCATCAGATTTGTGGGACCTTGGCGGGTGGACCGGGGGGGGAGGGGGTGTTGTTAAAACTTTACCTAAGATTAGCTTGATTCTCTTGTGCCAATCATAAGATCCGCTGCTTTCTTTTCGGTGACCGAGAGGATGGGGGAAAGAGCCGAGGAGGGGAAGCCTGCAAGTCACGGAGGGAGAGATTAAGGCAGCAGCTCTCGCAGCCTCGTTCCAAGCAGGTTAAGGAGGAAGAAATTAGGGAGAATTTCCACCAGGGGTGGGGGAACCACTGCTGCTTATATTAGAGCAACATTGGCTACCAGCCATTCCATCAGTAGGACAAATAGGAATCAGGTGCAGTCCATCAGCTTTGCTGGAGTTCCAGTTCCATCAGGCACCTCCTGCCCCTGAACTGTGCCAGCTGGTCATTATAAAAAAAACAATTGCTTAGAAATTGGTGCCTGAGTTTTGGTTTTTCCTCTTCCCTCCCTGTCCCTTTCCCTTTGTGTGTCTTTTTAAAGACTGTAATCCAGCATACAATGGGGCTGCCTTGTTTTAAATTGATTATACATAAGCCACTCCTGGAGCCTTTTTGCCTGGAGAGCAGGGTACAAAAAATGCTCTAAATGCTTTTGGTCATACACCCCCATTAAATTCAGTCTGTTTTGTCCCCGACTTGTCTCTTTCGGGTAATTTGACGGATGCCTTTTATCGTTTTCGAACTTCCTGAGCCTGGCTCTGGTCCTCTTAAAATGTGTGCCTGAGTGGGGGGGGGGGAGGTCATGCATGCACGCACACACATGCATCTTTTGAGAGCATGGCTCTAAACTGATGCAAATGAACCCTAAAGCACAACACAATCCACAGCCTTCCATTTCAAACACAACCCACAGCCCTCCATTTCACCTGCTGCAGCAACCGTGGCACGTTTTGTACTCTGCATAATTGGAACACAACACAACAATGATTTTCTAGCATTTTCCAGTTTTCTCGTACACAGGACCTAGTTGTTAAACCACTGGGAACTGTAGCTCTGGGAGAGGAATAAAAGGTAAAGGGACCCCTGACCATTAGGTCCAGTCGTGACCGACTCTGGGGTTGCGGCGCTCATCTTGCTTTATTGTCCGAGGGAGCCGGCGTACAGCTTCCGGGTCATGTGGCCAGCATGGCCAAACCGCTTCTGGTGAACCAGAGCAGTGCACGGAAACGCCGTTTACCTTCCCGCCGGAGCGGTACCTATTTATCTACTTGCACTCTGACGTGCTTTTGAACAGCTAGGTTGGCAAGAGCAGGGACCGAGCAACGGGAGCTCACCCCATCGTGGGAGAGGAATAGGGGCCTCCTAATTACTCTCTGCACCTTTAACCACACTAAAATTCCCAGGAGTCTTCTGTTTAAAGTGGTACACGACTGCTTTAAATCTGCCTCTATTCTTTCCTCTCCACCCCTTAAATGTTTTTAACATCTAGCCAGCTAAAGAGCTTTGAGGATCTTAAAAAGCTCATTCATTTTACTTGGGCCCTAATAAAGCTTTTAGTGTATTGCCCCTTTGGAGCACTGCTCTAGTGAAGACTGCACACAGGTACCTGCCATTTTTCTCCATTTGCAGAGGCGGTGAGCATGTCATCTTCCAGGCGCTGCTGAACTACAGCTCCCAACCTCCCTGGCTATTGGGCCATGCTGGCAGGGTCTGCTGGGACTACCACAGCAGCATCTGGAAAGCTGTAGGTTCTCCACCACCCGCTAATTCACAGGAAAGCTCAGCTAACGCCATGATGGGTCTCTCATGCAGAAACAGTTTGCTTGTATTACTATCCTTGTTATAACAAGCTGTGGTGGTTTCCTAGCTTTGTGCAAGACCACAGCGCCATCTGCTGGAGGGGGAAGCACCAGCAACATATATTATTGCTTTCCCCCCTTAACATTTAATCACTACTCTTGTACAGTGGTACCTCGGGTTACATACGCTTCAGGTTAGACTTCGCTAACCCAGAAATAGTACCTCAGGTTAAGAACTTTGCTTCAGGATGAGAACAGAAATCGTGCTCCGGCGGCACGGCAGCAGCGGGAGGCCCCATTAGCTAAAGTGGTGCTTCAAGTTAAGAACAGTTTCAGGTTAAGTACGGACCTCCGGAACAAATTAAGTACTTAACCCGAGGTACTACTGTATGATCATAAAAATAGCCTGCTGGATCAGGCCAAATCCCCACCTGGTCCAGCACTCCGTCCTCACAGTGACAAACCAGCATGGTCAACAATATAGGTCCCTAAATTATATCAGGGGGTTGATGTAAATGACCTTTGAGGTTTCTCTCCCATCTGATTCCCATTCTCACACAAACAAAAGTTCGGCTTTAAAAAAAAGGAAAGGAAAGGACAACGTATTGAGATCATTTTTGTTACAAACAGTTCAGCACCTTTCAATGTTATCAAACGAGACTAACATTCTGTACAAAAGAATCGGTTTTAATGCAGATTAAAAATCACCAGACATAACAATCTCAGTTCAGACCTTCAACAGCAAAAATGGGTTTCCATTTAGATGTATTTACAGTGTTATTTTCTTTTTAAAAGGTACAATATATACATAAACAACAGAAAGTTGAAAGTCAACTCATTTAAAAATAATTTTGCAACATTTTCTTTAAAAAAAATAAAAAAGATAAATTATTGGGGGGGGTCCCCTTATCTGTCCCTTCTTGTGGCTTCATTTTGCAAAAATGGAAATCACCGGCGCATTTCCTAGATTATTAAATACCCTTTTGAAAATGCCAATAGACACTTTTCCTGTTTTAGAAAACTACTTCTTTTTTGTTCCCTGCTTATTTTTTTTCACATCTATAAACTAGACCAACAACGAGGGAAATAGCAGATATCTGGAGCAAGTGTATCAGAGGTTCATAAAGAAAACATTTTATCGTTATAAAAACAAAAACACAATTAGGCACAAAAAACAGGAACTCTGCCTAGGGAGTCTAGAGAAAGAGGGTCTCTCCCTATAGCGTCCTCCATATTCCCCTCCCCGTATCCATCTCTACTTTGGTGTGCTTATTACCCAATGCCCCACCTGCCCCATACATTCAAGGAACTATGTACCACTTTAAACAGTCATGGCTTCTTGCCCATAAAAATTGGGAACGGCCATTTGTTCAGGGGGTGGAGCTGTTATCCCCTCACAGAGCTGGAATTCCCAGAGGGATGTAGCTCTGAAGGGAGAACAAGGGGTCTCCAAACACCTTGCTGCCCCCTTAACAAACTACAGCTCCCAGGATTCTTTGCGGGCAGCCATGAATGTTCAAAGTGGAAATACGCTGCTTTAAATGTGCAGGGCACATGGCCTGCTCCCCCAGTATGCTCACCAGCATCCTTTGTTCTGTACTGCTGCTACACAATCAGGGGTTCCACCGTGTTAAAAGGTGTCCTCTGCATTCCTATACAGCACCCCCAGACAGAAAAAGGGACCCCCTATAGTCACCCACCACTGACACCGAAAACAGAAACAAAACTTCAGCATCACATGCTGAGATCCATACATTAAACAAGGATATACAATTAAGGCACATATTGGCAATGCCAATCTGACCCGTAACGGGCCAGAAAAATCTCATTCATGCACACATACAAATGGGTTCTCTCTCTCACTTTTGCACACACCATGGCTCTACCGACATCTACCCTATTTTAAAAGGAAAACAGAGGAGGGGGGGTGAACTGAAAAGTGAAGCCAGTACCCTCCCCCCTTCACAAAACCCAGACCCAGAATGTTCTCCTAAGGCAGATGTGGAGAAGGTATGTCTCTCTGGGGTGCTGATGGATCAACTCCCATCATCCCTGACCACTGGCCCTGCTGGAGCTGAGTTGGAGTCCTTCAACAACATCTGGAAGGCCACAGCTTCCCCACAAAACTATAGTATCTGAGTGTATTACACCAGCTGGATCCTTGAGAATAACCCAGTGGAGGGAGACTACAAGTCCCAGAAGGCCATTCTTGGGATCCAGAAGTGCAGGATCGGGACACCTGAAAGTTGATACAGGATTCTGAGACACAGACTTAGCTACAATGCCTTTCAGTTCTTAAAAAAGCCAATATCTGCAATATTGAGGTCTGAGACTCCTTTGTATTCGCTCTCAACACCTGTACCCTCAGTTGGAACTGAGATGTCTTTAACCTTTGCAAAAGCAACTGCTTTGCAAGAGAGGATTCCCCTTATGATATTTTCGGAGCTATCGCTGCCCAAGAAAGTGAAATCCTGAAGCCACTTAGATGTGCACAGGCCACAGGTGTTCCAACAGGTCTTCTGTAGGAGCCCAAGAGCCTCATCTTTTGTTTTAGGCTTTCCGCATCAAAGTCATCAGTGCAGGTTTAGACAAGGTAGAAGTCAAGTTACATAAACTTGCAAGGAGAAGCAACAGTATTGCAGGATGTTGGGGAAATATAGTACTGACCCGAGGATATACACCTTTTAACTAGCCCATGGGCAGAGACATCTGCAGCCAGAGCCATTATCCCAGGTGAGGAAAGAGTCACAATGAGCTCAAGGAGGGAGGCGGGGAATGAAGTCTAAGGTGTGCCCCAGGTAGGCAAAGTTTAATGGGGCAGATGCTGGATACCCTAACCCTAACCCCCTAAACACATTTTATGGGACCTGCGATGGAGCTTCAGGGGCTGAAGGCAGCCTGCCTGGATAGAAAACCTGCTGCAACAAGGAAATTAAAACTTGGCAGATGGGAAAGGGCTGGATGGAGGCAAGAGCACCCGTTTATAACCCAGTTACCTTTATAACTGCAGAACTTTGCAGTTAACTCTGCATTTAATGCCGTAATATCTAGCACACCTTTTCGGGGGAAGTGACACAATACCAAGATGCAATAGCAGATTTGATCCTATTAGCCAAGGCATTCCCATCAATATTAATATCTCTGTGTGTTTGCAGTCTGGGAAAAGAACACAGAAGACAGGCAACCTCTCCGATCTATGAGCTGCTTTGAAAAACAAACAACGTTCTGGGAACTATCCTATTCATATGGGGAATCCTGGGGGGGGGGGGTTGGAAGGGAGGGGGAGAAGAGAAAATAGAAGACGTCACACATGCTACAGCAGACCAGATGAGTCCTAAAAACACAGAACAATGCATCATATCATCCCCCCCCCTCTCTCTCTCTCACACACACACACACACACAAAAGTGGCCACTTGGTGTTCACTTAAGGCTACTTGGCCCTCATGCTGCCAACTAGTGGTCATTTAGGGGTACCGCACCTACCGGGCCCCTGCCTCAGGCGGCCTGCACAGGAGGTACCAGCTCCCTTGCAGATTTAAAGCAGGTTCACATTGAACTTATTTCAGAAAGTCTCTGGAGACAGAGAACATGAGCAGCAGAGGGGCGCTCTCAAAGGGGCAACTGCCCATCTAATCGGCCGCATACAATGAATCCAGGAGTGTCGCTGGTTTCATTTTTGGAGGAGAAAAACCCGAGAAGGAATTAGAGGAGCGAACAAGATTTGCAGAACCCCCTTCCTATCACAGGGGAATGTCTTCAGCTGCAAGCTTGATAGACCCAGAGATAGAAGAAGGGAGAGTCGTATGAACCGTCCCAGTCGCTGCAGCCGCCTACACGCCGGTTTGCTCTTTGATCCAGGCCCGCAGTGCCGAAACACGAGTGTACATTCCCGGCTTGTTCCTCTTGGCACAGCCTTCCCCCCAGCTGACCACGCCAGCCAGGAACAATGTGTTGTTGGCCTCCAAGCTGACCAGCGGCCCACCGGAGTCTCCCTGCAAAGAGACAAGAGCACACATGCTCAGAAAGGGGACCTGTTTTTGTGACCCTTTGTCCACCAGTCCAAGGAGCTGTTTCGTTCTCAGGAGAGACCAGCATTTGCACCAAATGGCCTCCCTGGTGCACTGTGGTTCTGGTGGGGTTCCCATGCCCTTCAGTTGGGTTTGGACACCTCCAAGGGAAGAAGCTGGGATTGCAAGGCGAGGCAATGATGCAGGAGCGTCACCGCGAACAGCAGAGCCCGTGGGCTGCAGACAACCAAGTTCTACTCAAGAGTAGATGCACTGATATCATAATGCAGTTATTATTAAGAAGAGTTCGGATATGGATTTGATATCCCACTTTATCACTACCCTAAGGAGTCTCAAAGCAGCTAACATTCTCCTTTCCCTTCCTCCCCCACAACAAACACTCTGTGAGGTGAGTGAGGCTGAGAGACTTCAGAGAAGTGTGACTGGCCCAAGGTCACCCAGCAGCTGCATGTGGAGGAGCGGGGAATCAAACCCAGTTCACCAGATTACGAGTCTATTGCTCTTAACCACTACACCACACTGGCTAGCTAATATGTTGCTAGTGCAGCACACTGCATGTTTTGTGTTGCCCCTGTTTTTAAGCTTTTCTGGTTTTCTATGGCCTTCCTGTGCTGCATTTTGTTTTGTCGAGTCGCCTTGAGACTTTTCACTGCAACCCCCCTCGATTAGTTAATGAAGTAAGTAAGAAGTCGGCAGGGCTGCATTCTGAGCTCTCCACAGCCATGGCTCCCCCCTCTCTCCCTGCGGACAATTCCTACCTGACAGGCATCTTTCCCGCCTGTGAGGACCCCGACACACATCATGCGGTCCGTCACGTCATTGGGCACCATCAGGGACCTGCACACGGTCTGGTTGATCACACGGATTTCGAGCTTCTGCAAGATGCTGGCACCGTTCCCTGCAGAGGACCACAGAGGAGTTGCATGGGAGTAGGGATATAGTTTATTCAGGATGCTCTTTTAAGCAATCAATCAATCAATCAATCAATCAATCAATACACACATACATACATACCAGCCCTGCTAAGAGTGCAATGGATTCTCCAATTACAAGTCCCCCAGATGCACAACCCCCACAAAAACTCTTAAACGCCTTAAGAGATGCCATTGGTTCCAGCCCTCTAGTTGCATCAGGGTAGAAGAACTCAGAAGCTGCTGCTCCCTTTAATGCAAAATGTTGCCTACGATAACTTTTATGTCGTCTGGCGCAACTTTATAATATTATACAAACAATGAGGCATACGGCGGAATGGTGCCTATGGTCTCCAGCAGGGTCTCCCAAACGTGGGTCTCCAGCTGTTTTTGGACTACAACTCCCATCACCCCTAGCTAGCAAAGACCAGTGGTCAGAGATGATGGGAACTGTAGTCCGAAAACAGCTGCAGACCCAAGTGTGGGGGGGAACTCTGGTCCACAGCATAGTTTGGCGTGCACGAAACACATATTTTAATTCTTCTTCTTCTTCCTGTCTTTACATAAACCCTGCAAGACCAGTTCTGATGCTGACACAATATATATTTTCATTAGTGGACAACAGTCCAAGCGACGGAGGTTATCGTTTTGTGCTTGTTAAGATTGTCCTTTTTTACATATAAAACTTTTATTGCAAGACAACTTACATAAGAAATAAAAAAGAAAAAGAACAATTAGGACAGACAGAGAACAGATTGTCATGATTTTAGCATATACACTCTTGATAAAGTCCTGTGGTGGATTCAGAGACGACTCTCTCGTTTTATCTTTGTGATATATATTTTAAATGTTGCCTCCTTCCACCAAACTGCAGATCTGCCCTTGTTTTACTCCCCTCGTCACCGCCTCTGAGTTGGAATCACAGAACCAGGCAGAGGGCCTTCTCGGTAGTGGCACCCGCAATGTGGAATGCCCTCCCACCAGATGTCAAAGAGAAAAATAACTATCAAACTTTTAGAAGACATCTAAAGGCAGCCCTGTTTAGGGAAGCTTTTAATGTTTAATAGATTATTGTATTTTAGTGTTTTGTTGGAAGCTGCCCAGAGTGGCTGGGGAAACCCAGCCAGAGGGGCGGGGTATAAATAATAAATTATTATTATTATTAACTGTAGGGCACCAAGAGTCTAGAACAAAGGCCTAGGACGCCCCCTTCACATCCCCACCCAACTCACCTGATTCTTGAGTGGCTCCCCATCCCGTCACCCAGAGGGATTTGCCAACGGGGAAGTCATGGGTGACATCAGGCAGGCAGATAGGCTGGATGTATTTGTTGAACTCGACCGGGCTGGACAGCTCTGCCACAGCAATGTCGTTGTCGTAGCTGGCATCATTGAAATACGGGTGGCGGATGACCCTCTTCAGGCCCCGCTGCTGAACGTTGCTGTTGCTCCTGTCCCCCTGGTCGAGAAGCCCCATGTAGGCTGTTATCGTCCTGTGGTCCAAATGCCTGCGGAGGAATTGGCAGGTAAGAAGATCAGAGGGTGCTCTGTTCTCTTAGACGGGGTAGCCATTACGCCATGCACCCTGCGGCACCCAAGGAAAGTCATTTTTGGACTGCTGCCCATGCCCCCCCCCAATGTGCCCACTGGCCCAAAAAGGTTGGCAAGCAGCACTAAAACTCATCTAAAGTATCCCTAGCATAGGGGTCAGCAAACTTTTTCAGCAGGGAGCCAGTCCACTGTCCCACAAACCTTGTGGGGGGTCAGATTATATTGTGAAGGGGAAAAAATGGACGAATTCCTCTGCCCGACAAATAGCCCAGAGATGCATTTTAAATAAAATTTTACATTCTACTCATGTAAAAACACGCGTGGGCCGGATTGAGAAGGCGATTGGGCCAGATCCAGCTCCCGGTCTTAGTTTGCCTACCCATGCCCTAGCACCTCACCTATGGCCTTTTGGTAATTCCTACAATGCCAATGGTAAAAAGTATAGTCAGTCTGGTAAAGCACAATCTCATCTTGCACGCCATTAACTTGTGCAACTTCAACTATACACGGCTGGTTGAAGTCGCAGAAGTTAGAGCCAAGGAAGGCGGAGAGCTTAGCAGCTCTATCTATGCTGGGTCTGCTTGGGTTGCCAAGTGCGAAAAGAGCTTAGCAGCTCTTCCCCTTGCTTGCTGGACGAGGTCCCCTCAGCACAGGGATTCTTGGTGTGCTGAGAATTTTCTCTCCCCCTCTATCCATTGCGGGGGGGTGCGGGGGGGGCTCCAATTATTTGGGTATACATGATTTTCGTGTCTATGCTGAACCCTTCGAACCGAACCCCTGCATAAGATGCACCCGTGATGCATTGCAGAAGAAGCTTTGTCTTAAGAGAATGGTAGCTTCCCAAAATTATTTGCGAAGCCCACGATGGAGGGGAAACTGGAACCAGACAATCTCCTGGGTCACAGTTTGTTCTGGTTCAGGCGTGCCAGTTCCTAGGGTGCAGGTGTCTTCAGCCCCCTCAGTATGTGCTAGCAGGAGGCTGGGCCCCCTTGATGTTGAAGGGGCAGAGGATGTGGGGCAGTGTGCTTCAGTGGCTGGTTCCTTCTGAGCACAAGAGAGGAAGCTGCGCTGAGCTCCATGCTCCGCCTCCTCCCAGCATCAGGAGAGCAAAATGTGCATGACATCACACATGCGCAACATGCACCAGGCGCATGACGTCGTGTCACACTCATAACAGCACATGTGCCTCAATGCACGCTCCCCCCCCCCCGATCTTGGGCGCAAGACAGCTCCTGTTCTGGTTTATGCAAAATCAGGTCTGAACAGAGACAAAACCTTCAAACGCCACCATCCCATGCTCCACTGGACTCAATGAACTCCCAGCACACTGTTCAATGAACCCAGAAGCCTCACGCTCAGTTTCAAGCGTATATGCAGAACATAAGCCAGTCCATTACTGGAGAAATCCTAGATCTCTACCCACCTCCTCCAGTCATCCTGGAAGCAATGCGCTGCAGACACCACCCAATTCTGAGATATTAAGGTGGCCCCGCAGAAGTGACCGGTGTCCTTGGTGTGGAAGCTGACCTGCCACGGCCACTCGCCCTCGTCGGAGTCCTCCCCACCGACAATCCGGGACTGCTTGCTGTAGAAGCGCTTGCCACAGTCTGGAAGGAGCAAGAGTCAGAACACCAATGCATGAGTAAATTTGCCCTCCTGCGATCCCCAAGCAACATCACATATCACTCCTCCTTCTAGATCCTTGAAGAAGGGACAGGGAGTCCTTGGCCCCTTCCTGGTGCTGCTGAACTAAAACTCTCAGCATCCCTGCTCATCGGCCACACTGGTTGGGAGCTGTAACCCAGCAATATTCAGAAGGCCACAGGTTTCCCAGCCCTGCCTCCAAATGCTTCTGCAAAATTAACTGGCAGCTAAAGAGGGGTGTCATTGCATGCATTTGCAAAACAGGCAAAAGAGGCTTGCAGTAGGAACGCCTAGCATTTATATACTGCTTGAATCCTTGAAAAGGTTTCACATGCATTATCATATTGTTACAACAACCCTAGAAGGCAGCCTATTGTTGCTCCTGAAGGAGCGTCTCCACCCCCAACATTCAGCCCGGACACTGAGGTCCAGCTCCAAGGGCCTTCTGGCAGTTCCCTCACTGCAAGAAGTGAGATTACAGGGAACCAGACAGAGGGCCATCTCGGTAGTGGAACGCCCTCCCATCTGATGTCAAGGAAATAAACAACTACCTGACATCTGAAGGCTTAGGGAAGTTTTTAAGGTTTGAAGTTTTATCGGGGTTTTAATATTCTGTTGGGAGTTGCCCAGAGTGGCTGGGGAAACCCAACCAGATGGGCGGGGTATAAATAGTAAAATTATTGTTCTTGTTCTCTTTTACGTTTGTGACGTGAGTGACATTTCGGTCAAGTGCTCTTGGGCTGCTGACCCCCTGCTAGCCGTGCAAGAGTGCATCTCAGGTCATCAGCTTCCCAAAAGGTGACAGCTAGAACCATAACTCACTGCAATTGTCCTCGTCCGAGTTATCACTGCAGTCCTTATTCCCATCGCATTCCGGGTTCTTCTTGCTCAAGCACTGGTTGTTGCGGCACTTGTAGGTGTACGTTTTGCAGGAGACGGTGTCCACTGCAAGCAAACCACAGGCAAGGAGGCTCAGCGCCAGGAAACATTTAGCACAGCAGCATTCCCTGAGCTAAGCACAGAGAAATCCACATCCATAGAAGATCTTGCTTGCTTCCAGTAAGAATCTCCCTGATGGGGAAATTCAGAGCAGAGCGGAGAGGGACTCCAGGACTACTGCACATCCTGCCCCTGGAAACCATCATCCTCGTGAGGAAAGGCTACTTGCTGCTATGCATGTCTCTATTGTTATTCGTTTCACAAAATTTATGCAATGCTCGACTGTTTTGTTTTTAAACACTCTCAAAATGATTCCCCCCCCCAAAAGGATAGAAAAATTTATAGCCCTAGTTTGAAACATACAAACACTGAAATGCTAGAACAGATTAAAACTATGTCAACTTTATAAGCATATCTGGGTAGGCTTGTTTAAACAAGAATGTTTTTAGCAAGCACTGGAAAGAGCACAGTGAAGGCACCTGCTTGATATCAATAGGCAGGGCGTTCCAAGGGTAAGTGCTGCCCCCTACATAGCTAAGGCACTGAGATTTCAGAAAACCAGAACAAATACTGGGACACTGGTGGGGGGGTTGTCTATCTGTCTCCCCTGCTGCCAATGAAACCCCCTCCTCAAATTGCAGGAAAGCTGTGCTCTGCCTCTGGATTCTAAAACCAGACCTGAACTATTAAAGTGCACAAAGCGAGTTCCCCCCAGTTTTCTGGTTATTCTTCATTTATTTCCTAGCTTTTCCTCTGATGGACTCAAGGTGGTGTACACAGTTCTTTCCCCCTCCCCGCTGTATCCCCACAACAACCCTGGGAGGTAGGTTAGGCTGAGAGATGCTGAATGGCCCAAGGCGACACCCAGGGAGCTTCATGGCCAAGTGGGGGAGATTTGAACCCTGCTCCCTCCCAGGCCGTAGCCTGACACTCCAACCATGACCCCACGGCGGTGCCGTCCCTAGCAACTGACTGCAAGTCCTGTTCTGAGGGCCTTGGCGTAGCAGGGGTTGCTGGTGCCCCCTGAGACTGGCAGGGTGGAAGGCAAAGGAGCCAACAGTAGGGGGAGCACCAGAGCTGATGCTGGGCAGAGCCAACTAATTTGAGTTTTGTCTCCCTCCTTCTCCTCCCTGCCGAGTTCTACAAGGGCAAGAGTGAAGCTGAAAGGCAGGGACTCGCACCCTGGACTGGCTGGAAGGGAGAAGGCAGGCATCTGGGGGCTGTCAGAGGGCAAACAAGGCAACAGACCCTCCCAACCCAATGCTTTCCTACGGCTCCCCCTTGGTGCTAAGAGTCGTACCACGGCCACAGCTCCCCTCGTCGCTGCCGTCGCCACAGTCATCCTTGCCGTCGCATTTCTTGCTCTCTGGGATGCAATTGCCGTTGCTGCACCGGATGTTATTTGCCGGACATTCTGCCCAACGGAAAGAGAAGCCACAGGTCAAAATTGCAAAAAAAGAAGCAGCAAAAAGGCACCCACACAGATCGGAGGCAGCGGGAGGGGACAGCCCCACACCCCCCGGCCCCACATCGCTTTGACCAAGACCCCCTTTCCCAGTCCACACTCACTGCACTCGGCCTCATCGCTGCCGTCCCCGCAGTCGTCCATGCCGTCGCAGAACCACAATTTCGGCTTGCAATAACCGTTCCGGCATCTGAACTGCTTCTCGGTGCAAGCTGGGAGGAAGGAGGCAGAGAAGCAGTTAAGAGAGGCAGCGCAACCTGGTGATTTACAGAGCAACAGGGCCCCACAGAGCATCAGATATGGGATGGCTGAAGTAGAGTTTGGGAGAACCCAACGCTTCCACAAAGAGGCACCGATCCTGACCTGGAATCTGCAAGTCATGAAGGGGAGCGTGCAAAAAGCAGGAAAAATAGACTGGTGCTGGTCTAGTGCTTGTCCTACTCAGAGTAGTCCCATTGAAATCTATGAGCATGAGTAGTTATTTTATGTCTGGTTTTTTGTTTTGTTTTTACAATAAACTATAATTGCGTATGGACTATGTAGATTGTCCTCAGGTCCTGTTTTGCAGAATTTTGTATAGCTTGCTTTTAAAAAGAAATTATTATTTTTTTAAAAAAATCCATTGACTTCAGTGGGTCTACTCTGAGCAGGACCAGCATTGGAGACAATCCTCTTGGGTTTTTTCCTCAACAGGCACAGGTTTCTGGAGCCTTTTAAGTTATTTATCACATATTTATCCCACCTTTTCCTCCAAGGAGCTCAAGGTGGCATACATGGTTCCTCCCCACATTTAATTCCCCACAATGAACTTGTGAGGAAGGTTGGGCTGAGAGGCAGTGACAGGCACAAGATCACACTCAGTGAGCTTCATGGCTGAGTGGAGATTCAAACCCTGGCCTCCCAGATCCTAGATGAAAGGCAGTGCCCTTTCTATGGCAGATCAGGACTTGCCCTTCAGCGAAGCTATGCCATTCATCTTTTGTGCCAAAAGGTCTGGAAACTACCCTTCGCCACAGCAATTGAGTTTGGTGCTGGCCACAGAATTCACCACCCTGAGAATCATGGCTTGTTAGAAGGCATCGTTAGAGCAAGTTTCTAGACTATATGATGGCAAACATATGCGTCAAAGGATGTAGAAGGCATTGCCTGCCAAAACCTCCTAGGTCGAAAGGTGGGTTGGGGTGTGGAAATTGGGATTTCCAGGAGTTTTATACAGAAACATTTTTATTTTATTTTTTGGCATTCCCAACAGCTCATCTTTGGAACGGTTTTGCAAACCGTATGAGGCATAGTCAAATTTGCACACTTTCACTTGGTGGCAGAAACCAGATCCGCTTTAATGCAAGATCAAGGCACAAAACATACGTAGCCCCGTTCCATATCCACATTTCCAAATTCTCTCAAGGGAGCTGAACAGAGGAGAAGGACTCACTGCAGTTTTTCTCATCGCTGGCATCCGTGCAATCGTTGTAGCCATCGCAGCGCAGGGTCTTGGCGATGCAGCGGCCGGTGTTGCAGGCGAATTTGCCTGGACAGGCTGCAAGTCAGAAATTGGGGTGAGGGGAGAGAGGAGAGGTACGTTAAGTCTTGCAAACAGTGCAAAGTACCAATTCCCTGCCTCCTTTTTCAACGGGATGTTTTCGGTCTGCCCCACGGGAAGTCTCTTTCCCCTGGGAAAAGTCTCTTCCCCTTGCAATTGCTAAGGCCACCCTTGGATGCAAGAGGCCGGAAAAGGAATGTGCAAAGGGAATGCGGTCAATAACATTTCTTTTCTCCTTCCTCCAAGCAGTGCACCATGCGATGAACCTCTTCTATGCCCTCCTTCATCGTTTAAAAGGTCCAAATGCTTTAAGTCTCTCCCCCACATCCGACCCACCCACCCCACTCCCAGCACCTCACCCCCAACCTCACAGCATTCCCACTTACGGTCGTTGGTTTGGTAGGACATGAACTCTGCCGAAAAGCCGCTGTCTACCAATGAAAGATCCGAATGGAAACGGACGGAAATCTTGTTGGTTTTGCTCAATATTACAAATTGCTTCTTCTCGCCGCAGTACCTGAAGGGATCACAAGGAGGCAAGGAGCCAATGAGAGGAGAGATGGTCCTTTTTTTAAGACAACATCATTCCAAACACAGACACTGAGGTGGACGGAGGTCTCCCCATTCCTCCCCACCATAAGAGAGCAAGCCCATTGCACAATACAGTATATACAAGACTAGTCCTGCCCAGTGACTGAATTGCTGCACTAAGGAGCTGGTTTCCCTGAACAGTGTGGGAACCTAAGGCTCTCTCCAGAACCTCCTTGTCCCATCTGAGCCTGCCTGTGCATTGAGCTCAGCCTCAGATGCTCTGCTTTCCACCCTGTTGCCATTAGAGGTTCAATGGAGAGCATAGCAGACGGGATCTTTTTAGTGGTAGCACCACAGTCAGGTTTTCTGAAAACCTATTTGTATATATGCCTTTGCCAACTCTCACTATGACTCCCATCATCCCTGACAGCTATGCCGTCTGGGGCTTTTTAAATGAAAGCAGTGCTCTTTATGTTAAACGATTTGCCGTTTTCAGCTGTTTTAATACACTGTTTGCCATTCCTCTTTAAAACTGTACATTTTGGTTTGGTTCGGTTTGGTTTTCTAATTGCTTTTATCAAACACTTTCTTGGGTTACAAAAGCACACACAACGTCTCTGCTTTCAGTTCATAAGAGTCCTTTTTGGAACTGGTGTCTTTAATGCCCATTTATTTCAGAGCTGCAGTACTCTGCAGATATTTTCCAATTCAAGGCTGCAAACCTGGTCCAGCCCCACTGCCAGCAGCAGCAGCTGGCAAGAGAGGTGCCACTACAGCATCCCAGAGGATGTCCAGGCCATGTGGAGGAGTGGTCACCCCTGAGCCACGCTGACCTTGACCCTGCCCTGCCCCCGGATAGGACCCTGATGCCTTTGGGCAGGAAGCCAGGTCTCTTTCCTACCAAGATTCACATTCCGGCTCCTTCTAAGAAATCACAGCCTCAGTGCAGGCTTCCTCAAACTCGGCCCTCCAGATGTTAATGGCCTACAACTCCCATGATCCCTAGCTAGCAGGACCAGTGGTCAGGGATGATGGGAATTGTAGTCTCAAAACAGCTGGAGGGCCAAGTTTGAGGAAGCCTGCCTCAGTGGGTGGGGGGGTCCCCAGATCCAATAGTTAGCTCTAACTTAAAAAATAAACAAAAACACCTGAGCTTATTTATAACATAACCAAGTATAACAACAGGTGACAAATAAAACAAAAGCAGAAACCAGACCTAAGCACATCGGAACGAATTTCCATACCAAAATCCAATGTGATAAATTAATATCACCAGGTTCCAAATGGGTTTACATTATCCTAACTTTTTTTTTGCCCCAAAACATTATATAAAGGCTCCGTTTCTCCATAAAGGCATCGCCTTCTTGTCTGCCCTCTCTATTTCTCACCATCTGTGTAAACCTAGCCAGGCAGACCACATCCCAGATTTTAGTTTCACCCCTTCTCTCACGCCCAGTTTTAGCACTTAGCTCTCTTACTTGACGTTGTTGACTTCCACATAGTCTTTGGGGCAGGAATTGAGTGGGATGCCAGGCTCGGCAAGGAAGAAGTTGTTGAAGCGCACCTTCGCTCTCTTATCCGTGGGGACCTGAGGACAAGAAGTGGGTGGTGGGAAGAGAGATGAGGGACTCAGCTACATCCAATTATGTCATTGTAACGGCATTACAAACATGTGACACCAGAGGGCGCTGTAGAGCAGCCCACATCGACTATGGGATTTTTCATTATGAGCTTTAGAACGTTTTTCTTTCTAATTTAACTTTACAAGGTTGTTATTGTACTTCATCAGATCTTAACCTATTACAGTATTTGTAAGAACGGATTCCAAATATTGTTGAATTTGTCCATGGCAAGTCTGCGCTATTATGCAAGTTGTTGATATGTTGCGAGTTTATATAAGTCTTCGATGCAATTGTAGAAGGGAGTCACATTTTTATTTTTCCAATTCATCAGTATTAGTCTCTTTGCTATGGTAAGGGCACGGAGAGTCCACTCATATTGTCCTTTTGTAAGGTTCCTTGCGGGGAGGGGGCATATGATTCAAAAGGATATTTTGCTCTGTAAAAGTTAAGGTTGTTCTGTACAGTTCTGTTGATAGTTTCAGTTACCTTCTGCCAAAAATCTTTCAATATAGGACAATGAAAAAGCGTATGTTTTAGAGAGGCATTGTCCCTATTGCATCTCCAGCAGTTGGATACCTTAAATAGCCCTTGTTTAAAGAAATGTAATGGGGTCCAGTATATTCTAAATATTATTTTTTGTTGTATGAGCCTCAATTTAATATAACACATTTTCCTGTAACTTTTTAAAAAATGTGTCTAGAGCCAGCTGAGGAAAGAGGCAGTGGCATCATGACTACATGACCCTTTGGGTCCCTTCAGACTCTGCACCTCTGTGATCACTTACAAAGCTAGTTTTTAGTTTCCCCCCGGCCCATGCTGGGTTTCCCTAGCCGCTCTGGGCAGTTCCAACAAAATATTTAAAATACAATAAAGCATCAAACATTAAAAACTTCCCTAAACAGGGCTGCCTTCAGATGTCTTCTAAAAGTCAGGTAGTTGTTTATTTCCTTGACATCTGATGGGAGGGCGTTCTACAGGGCAGGCGCCACCACCAAGAAGGCCCTTTATCTGGTTCCTTGTAACCTCACTTCTCGCAGTGAGGGAACCGCCAGAAGGCCCTCAGAGCTGGACCTCAGTGTCCGGGCAGAACGATGGGGGTGGAGATGCTCCTTCAGGTATACTGGGCTGAGTCTGTTTAGGGCAGGCTTCCTCAACCTCGGCCCTCCAGATGTTTTTGGCCTACAACTTCCATGATCCCTAGCTAGTAGGACCAATGGTGAGGGATGATGGGAACTGTAGTCTCAAAACATCTGGAGGGCCTGGTTTAGGGTTTTAAAAGTCAGCACCAACACTTTGAATTGTGCTGGGAAACATACTCCCAAGCTACTTTGGTAGCAGAGCACCAGATTAAAAAGAACAACCACTATCATGTATCTTTCTAGGGAGCAACCAGAACCTAAGAGCAGCCTGACAGACCAGGACAATGGTGCACAAACTCCTGCAATCTTGTTTCCCCACAGCAGCCAACTTGAGCACATGCTTTGCAAACTGGAAGCCAGTAATATGGAAACACAGCATTGAATTCCACAGTATTTCCGGAAGTGGCTTTTACGTCGTATGGGAGCTCAAATATAACACGGAAATCAACAGTAAGTGAAACGTTGGGGTAATAGAATGGGCTGCCCATGGGAATGCAGCCTTCTTCTGTTTGCTAAATTGTTTCGGGTGGTTTTCAAAATTTATTGATACGGCGTGCAAACTGCTTTCTTCGCCCAACACATGCACACACAGAGCTGCGTGTTGCAAGATGCTTTGGTCCCAGCTCACTGTGCAAAGGCAGCAGATAAACTAAGTCAGGTCCAAGTAAGAAAGGAGCCGCTCTTACCACTATATTCCAGACACAATCCATACCAGGAGGATAGTGGGCTGGGTAATAAGGAGAGGAGAAGGTTCCGGATATTGCCGTCAAATCTGCGCCACAATCTAGAATAAACGGGGTGGAAGCAAACAAAGGAAGTGAGCCCTACTTCTGAGGCTGAAAGGACAAGCCGACAGGAAGAGAGACGTGGGCAGAATGTCCTTAATGAGGGTAAGCCGGTCTCCAGAGGTACCAGGCGGACTCTGAGGCCTGCATTGGACTCGGGAGACCAATTACACCTCACCTGTTCACATCTGTCCTCTGACTCATCCCCATGCGTATCTCTTGTTAGAAGGCATCGTTAGAGCAGCAGCGAGAGGGATGCTATTTATTGCCCAGTTGTTCCAAGACAAAAAAAGGGAAAAGTATGCCCCAGCTTCTTCCCTCTTACAAAAGGATGGATTACCCACAAGGTGATTTTCGGCCGTAGATGCTTTTTAACCCAACCTTCTCCTCTTCTGCTATAACTCAATCTTCCATAATCAGGCCCTGGGAGAAGAATGTGGCCCCTCCAGGCTTCTGCATCTGGCCCCCTGAAGTTTCCCCACGTCAAAACCCTCACTGCCCCTGCACACACCAGGAGTTTTCACCTGGCAGGACTGTGCCCTCAGAGCGTGACTCTTGCTCAAGGACAGAGAGATGTGGGAGTGCAGAAACTAGCCTACTGCACAAAGGTAAAATTCGCACTCATTGCTCTGCCTGCTTTTGCCTCTGACCCTCCCACCAACAGCATGTGGCCCTTGGTAAGTTTCTCAGAAGGGAATTTGGCCCTTGGGTTAGAAAAAGACCGCATATGTTCATGAATGTTAAGTGGCCTTTGCTTTTTAGCAGGGATTCCTGCATTGCAGGGGGTTGGAGTAGTTCAGCGTTTCCCAAACTTGGGTCTCTGGCTGTTTTTGGACTACAATTCCCATCATCCCTGACCGCTGGTCTTGCTAGCAAGGGATGATGGGAGTTGTAGTCCAAAAACAGCTGGAGACCCAAGTTTGGGAAACACTGAACTAGAGGATCCTTAGGGTTCCTTCCAACTCTACAATGTTATGAATGGATAGACAGACAGACAGACAGACAGACAAGAAGTGACTCTTACTTTTCTTCTTTGGCATCTGGAAGAACTCTGCCTTGAACCCGGGATACCGCTCCGTGGCATCTGTGATCAGCATGACCAGGAGAACATTTGTAGAGGAGACAAAGGTCAGGTTGTAGGATGGTCCATAGCTGCCACACAGCCTGGGAGGGAGGAAAACACCAAGTGGTGGGTGAGGGGAAGGGAAAAGAGAGTCAACCACCCAACAGCCACTCTTTGCAGCAGCTCCTCTTCCGCCATATTGGAAGTGGGCTTAAGAACCACAAAGTTCATTCGGGAGATGAGCAACGACAGCTCCCAAGGAATCCAAAGCCCACCACAATACCATATCCTTGCGACTGGCCCCTAAACCTCTTGACACTGGGTTTAGTGCATTTTAAATATTAGAAGGATGCCGCGTAAAAAAACAAAAACTCCACTGTTTTAATGTTAGCTGATTTTAATCGAGCCATTGGCACATTGCATTGTAATTTGTTTGCAAGGAGAAAGGAAAACTCTGATTCTAAACCTCCACTGCCTTGCGGGACATCTTCGGAATAATAATAGTAGTAGTAGTAGTAATAATAATAATAATAATAATAATAATAATAATAATAATAATAATAATAATACCCTTGCTGATACCTTTCCTGGGAAAATCAGAGGCTCACTATGTCAGGTTCCTATTGGAAGACCAGACAAACGCTAGAATATTAGCAGTGGCAAAGTTTTTATCGGTGGTTGCAAGAACCAATGATCCCTATCTTTAAGTCTGAACAAAATGCTTGTTTAACCTGGAGGTAGGCTGTCTGAATTGCGCATTGCTTTGTAAAGATTTGTTGGGTCTCTGGACCGTAATAAAGATTGATTGATTGACTTATTGATTGATGGGCCTCCCCAGCCACTCTGGGTGGCTTCCAACAGGATATTAAAAACACAATAAAAAACCAAACATTAAAACTTCCCTAAACAGGGCTGCCTTCAGAAGATAAGGCCAAGGAGTGAACCCTATACAACTCCAGAGTGAAGTCCCTAAGATGGTTGGATGGCATCTTGTACCCTTCCTTCGGTCATTTCCTGCAGCCAAGCTGGTGCCAGGCTGGTACTGCTCTGCTTTTGAACCTTGCACCTTCTCTGCTCCTGAGCTATGAGCCCTTCTCTCTGTACCATGAAGAGCCTTTGAAACTTAAAAGAGTTTCTCTTTAAGAGCAGAGGTTGAGCCACCGTCTCCTTCCAGGCGTGCCGCAAACGCTTGCTGCCCCTGCGCTTCAGAGGATTCATTCAACGGGGAAGGGCAGCCGACTTACTTCACCAGCGCGTGGGCTTCGACGGGGCTCAGCGTGTCGTACACCTTGACAAAGTCGTTCCCCACGTTGCAGGGCTCCAAGTCGAACGTCGTGAAGGTCAGGCTGATGACGGAATCGGCGTCAGCTCTCAGGACCCAGAGGCATCGCGCGTTGGACGGGTAGGCGCTGTTTGGGAACCCGGGCGTGGTGAAGCTGGTGACCACGCCCTCTTTCGCGTGCAAGGCATAGCTGCAGCTGTCTGAGTAGGTGGGAAGAGAGGGAGGGAGGACGACGAGGAGGGGGTCTCAATAGGGAGAATGCAAAAGCAATGAAGGACCAGGCGGTCCATTTCAAACAAAGTCCCAAGAAAGAGTCCAACAGGGCAGGATACTAAGTTGAGGACAAATGGTTAAAAAAAACCCCACCAGGTTCACCAATATCCTTGGCTATTATAGGGGGAAATAAAGGTAAAGGTAAAGGGACCCCTGACCATTAGGTCCAGTCATGGCCGACTCTGGGGTTGTGGCACTCATCTTGCTTTATTGGCTAAGGGAGCTAGTGTACAGCTTCCGGGTCATGTGGCCAGCATGACTAAGCCGCTTCTGGCGAACCAGAGCAGCGCACGGAAACACCGTTTGAGCACTACCTATTTATCTACTTGCACTTTGATGTGCTTTTGAACTGCTAGGTTGGCAGGAGCAGGGACCGAGCAACGGGAGCTCACCCCCCGTCGCGAGGATTCGAACTGCCGACCTTCTGATCTGCAAGTCCTAGGCTCTGTGGTTTAACCCACAGCGCCACCCGCGTCCCATATAGGGGGAAATAAACGCTCCTAAAACCTGCATGATTTTGTTGGCACGCAATTTAAACTCTTTCCCCTCATGTTAAGAGGAGGACATTTTCACAATGCTTGGGGCATGCATTTGGTTTTCCCCCCCCCTCCCCAATTTTTGCTTGCTAAATAAACCAGGTTGGGTGTGCAAGGAAGAATAGGTAAGAGTCGGTCGTGCAAGGCTGAAGTCTGTCCAGCTCTGTTGCCCCTCTTAAACCCCCAAATGTCAAAAACAAGGCATTAAGAAGCGGCTTCTCTGTCTCCAAAGCAAATTCATCTTACGAAGCTTCGCTTGAGAAAACCAACCCAGCCACAAAACTGATTTGGACTCTGCAGGGGCTGTTCTGGGTGGTTTGCCCTTCATAACTTAGCAGAGCCTTGTTCCCCAGACTTGGACACTCCTGTCTCTCCCAAACGGAGAGGAGGAACAGGCCCCCTTGTACAGACTACCCAATGAGTCTTGTAAGGCTACAAAACCAAACCGAGTACTTACTGTCCCGTTTTGCCTTAATGATATCTGGATCGGAAGCTAGGAGTTAAAGAGAGAGAGAAAAATACATTAATTGTGCAGGCCCCGTTGTAGGGGGAACCCAGCCAGTCTGCATTCCCTGGAGACACAAAGGTTGGCTCATCCCTCCCCCTACTTTGATGGACTCCAATGCAAGAGTCCTTTGTGAGAATGTAGAAGTGGATGAGTCACCATGACTCAGCCAAAAAGATATATTTCATTTCGTTGTCGTGGATTTCCCTCCCCAAAAATCCACCCGACGCCGCAGTCTGTACTGCACACCCATAAATAAACTTCTGAAGTATGAATTAAGTAACATTCTTATAGTTCCTCAGTTAACAAGTTTCATTGCAGGAACATTTTTAATTAGGACATTTTTGGCGGGGAGCACGGAGATATAACCATCAGAATCGGAGCACAGGGTGGGGGGCAGTGGGAGTAGGGGAGGCAATCTTTACATCCCTTATTCTGAAGAGAAAATTCAAATGTCTTCTGGTCCTTTAATATGCCAGCCCCAGGCCTCTCTCCCCCACCAGAACCCCTCATTATAAGGGTGCAATAATTAAATTTACTCATTTCATAAAATGTATACGCTGCTTGATTGTTAAAAAACAACAACTCCTCCTCAAAGGGGTTTACAGCAAAAGATAAAACAATAACATTATCAATAAGAAAAGTGAGTTAAAATAAGACTAAAAACAGATTAAAACTCACATCAACTTTCTTAACATGTGGGTAGGCTTGTCTAAAGAAGATTGTTTTTAGCAGACGCCAGAAAGAGGACTGCAAAGGCGCCTGCCTGAATTAATAGGTAGGGAGTTCCAAAGTGCGGGTGCCACCACACAGAAAGAATGAGTTCTTACAAACATGGAACAGGTATTATGTGGCACCTATATTAGTGTAGCCTTTAAACAAAACAACATTTTTGAAACGTTTAAACAAAAGATAAGCCTTTGTGTCTTACCCTAAATAAAATAAACCTCTTAAAGTTCCCTCACAAAGCTCTGAAATGCACAAGCACCTCGGGCGTTTTGCACCTGGCTATTGACCAAATCCGTCGGAAGCCCCAATAAACCCTTGCCCTGAGTCCTTACTTTTGCAGATGCTGAGAGGTTAGGAAAAGTTTGGAGAACTGATCTTTTAAAAGGGAAAGTTCTCCAAACTGTTCCTAACCACTCAGCAGCTACAAAAAGTTAGGACTCAAGGCATGGGTGAATTGGGCCTTCCGAATGGCTGAGTACCCAACCCAGCTGCCCATAACAGCCCAAGGACTCAGCTACATTAGTCAAAATACAGCGTTATAAATGCATTATAACACTGTGACACCAGATGGCGGTGTAAAGTTGAAATGACCTTTTCAATTGTGAGCTTTACAATGGTTTTTAGCAGATTGTTTTCAGAGCGTTTGTTTGATAGCCGTGCAGATCTAGCCCTGGTCAGCCACTATGTCTTCCCCACACATGTTTGGCTCTCATTTTCCAAAGCCAAATAGGCAGCTGAAATTTCCTCTGGGATGAAACACTCAGGTTCTCACAATCAAGGCTGAGTTGACTGAACAGGAGGTGGGGAGAAGAGAAGAGAGACTTACGGAAAGCGACGACCGTCTCAACTCGCATTTCATAGCTCCCCCTCTGTTTCATCCCCGCCTCATTTGAAGCCTGGATGTTGGCCATGGCCCTGTCAAGCGCCTCCACATTGTGTTTAGGGACACTGAACTCTGACCAGTAGTAGGCTATAATGCTGCCCTCGCTGCTCGGAGAGGAGGAAAAAGAGGCAGGTTAGGAATCTGGACCGAACCATCAGGGTTGCAAAGAGAATCACAGAACTGTAGAGTCGGAAGGGACCCAAAGGGTTGCAGAAAGCCTTGGCCAACCCTGACTGCCCCAATCACTATAATCCAGAGCTTTCCAAACTGTGCGTCGTGACACGTCAGTGTGTCTGCTGCAGTGTGTAGGTGTGTCGCGCAAACGCTCCCCACGCTCCTCCCAGGGCTGGAAAAGGGTTAGTTTGACCTCCGGTTTGCTAGGAAAACTGAATCACTATGTCACGAAATGATGCACGTCCGAAAGGTTTGGAAAGCTCTGCTATAATCTATTGTGAATATTGGTTTCCCTAAGGCCTGGCTCTCTCAAACATACTAGCAGGACAACAGAGGCCATGCTGCAAAGGAGTCTCATTTAAGGGATTTTTGCCCCATTACTGTGGCAAACCCATGTTCGGAAGAGCAAGTATGAGTTTGCGTATCTCGTTGTTTGCAGACACTGTGTTTTCCACACAGCTGGGGGTTTTTCCTGCCTTATTAGAAATTATTTTAAACGACATTTTAAACAACAATTCTGAGCGGTTTTTCTTAAACTTGGTCATTACCCACCTGAACGCGACGATCTGAGTTTCCTTGTGAAAAGGACTGACATCCTGATTATTTTTATAGATGTTTATAAGCTAAAGATGAGAAAAAAGGTTACAGTTTAGTGTAAATAAAGGAACAGGTAGATGACTAGCAAATTCAGAGGTCAGAAGGGAACCACACTTTCTGGCTATAACCGTTTTGTCACCGTCGTCAGATTCTATAGGCCAACCAAATACAGGTTATAGCTCAGAACAAACAAAAACGGACAGGTCTCAAAAACGTATCCTAGCACGTATGATTAAAACATTATAAAACACTTCACAGATATACATAAATGGAGGGAAATGGCGGGAAACTCCAGACGCAAGACTCTAGGGTTTTCCTGAGTTGCGAGGTTTTTAGTGCAAACTTCGCTATGTCAAACGTAACTGGTTTGTTTGAGCTAGATAGCAGGTAATTGATTCTATTGATGTCACTAAAGCTGGCAATCAACTTGAGGGTTTTCTTTAAGTATTTAGCCCTCAGAATTTCATATACAGTACAACGTATAATGAATAGTGTCCTCAACTGACAGACATACACAGCTGCAGAGGCGCTGTTCTCGGGGTGTTTTAATATTGTCCTTCCAGGAAGTTGCTTTGGGCTGCAAGTTGAGCTTGTCTCTAGGAATCCAAGGGTCGTCATCTCAGCGGATTCCAAAACGTGGAATCCATTGATTGGAAAAGCATATTGGGGGGGGGGTGGCTTTATTATATTTAAGTAATAAGAGCATTTAAGTCAATTGAGCTTCTCTTGAGTAAGTCTCACAGTAAAGCAGTTCAAGTGAGAAAGCATCAAACCAGAACCATCTTTGGGTTTGAAAGGATGTATACAGAAGTAAGATTTAAGGTTGAAAAGAGGGAGGGTGGGGTTCACCTCGCTTGAGCCCAGAAGCATGCAAACCCTGCAGCCCTCCAAACATTGTCAAACTACAACTCCTCGGCCCCTGGCCATGCTGGGTGGGGCTGATGGGAGCTGGCATCATTTAGTTCAGTCCTGTGTCTCCAGCCCAACACACCAGAGACGCCCATGGAGATGGGCGGGGTATAAATAATAAACATTATTATTATTATGCTACACAATCAATGACACTTCGCCAAGTTCGCCCTATGAGTTCAGGAGCTGCTTACCATTTTCTTCACCTCCCTGGCCAAGTCAGCAAATTCAGGGGAGTTGGAATTCTCGTAAGCATCGATGAAGTTGCGCCCCACGAGTCTCAGGTGGCCATTGTAGACTTTCTGCACAGGGGCATTCCTGTCTAAGAGAAGCCATATTGCGGGTGAAAGATAAGAACAGTGTTTAATGGAGCCTGCTCTACACCTACAGGTCTAGAGGTGCCTGGAACAAATGGGCTCCAGTTATTATTATTTTTATTTGGACAGTTCTGCCCCAGTCCAATTGCTCCAAATCCAGGGAAGCCTTTATTTCCTGGGTGTCCATTAACAGAACCAAGCGACCTTCCATCAAGCTTTAGAAAATAAGCAACACACTCCTTTGACTTCCGTTCTTGCAGCTCTGCAATCTGGTTTTCAAGGAGGCATTTTCAACACATACTATCCGGCAGGTTTTGTGAGTGGTTCCCAATATATAGAGATCTGCACTCAGGGTTCTACGTTTTTATTATTCTTCCCCAAAGACCCCACTGGATCAAGTTCACCCCTTTTGGTGAATTGATTAAACCATGGGATTTCAAATAAATGTGCAATTAATTGCTACTGTTTTTAATTTCAATGCGCTATTCTCTTTTTTAGTGGGTCACGCAAACCACTACAGTCGTACCTTGGATCCTGAACGCCTTGTGAGTCAAACGTTTTGGCTCCCGAACGCCGCAAACCAGGAAGTGACTGTTCCAGTTTGTGAACGTTTTTTGGAACCCAAATGTCCGACGCAGCTTCCGATTGGCTAAAAGAGCTTCCTGCAGCCAATCGGAAGCCGTGCCTTGGTTTCCAAACGTTTTGGAAGTCGAGCAGTCTTCCGGAACGGATTCTGTTCGACTTCCAAGGTATCACTGTATTCTGAATCATGCTTTTGATAGGGTAGAGTAGAGGGCATTGGGGATGAATTTCTGAAACCCAGGGGGCAGGGCCCTGGAAAAGGTTGGGAAACACTAATCTAAAGTGTAAGCTCCTTGGGGCGAAGACCACTATTAGCTTATGCACACTGCTGGTGCTTATGAATAATAAAATCAATAGTCTTCTTCAAGTTGTGGTGTGTTTAGCATCTTGGTTATACAACTTCTGCCACATGCAGCCAACAGTTATTTAATTTTGTGTAACACACACACACGCCTGGTGATTGAATCTACATTCTTCTGTTTTGGCTGGTATGGTTTTACTTGTTTTTACAACTGTAATTGTTTTTAGAACTAACTGTATATCAGATAGACAATGGACGTATAAACCTGAATCCCACTCTGAAGGGTTGGGGAAAACTCCATAGCAGGCTTGGGGGTCTGGGGGGCACACAGGGGGGAGGAGGTTCCACAGCATGAGCAGTTGTCATTCCGCTCACGCAGTGATTCGGCTGGATTTTAAGTTTAAATTGGCTTAGTCAGCAGGTCAATAAACTAAAGCTTTGGCCAACTGATCCACCAAGGGAAATGTTTTAATTGGTGGGGTTGCCTATTGAGGACAGATGATATTCCCAGCCTGCTCCAATGTGTCCTTGTAACAGAGAATAAAAATTTTAAAGTGGCAAAAAACTTTGTTTATTGAACTGCGGTTTCTCCCCTGCTTCTTCCAATATCTTTAAAAGGTAGGAGGTTTTCATAACTGACGGTTTTTCCAAGGAAAGGGCTTTTAATAGCGCTGCACTGGTGTTTTTTTATTATGATCTGTATTTCAGTAGATTAGTTTTTTTATATTGTTTTGATTCTATCAGCGTTGAATTGCTTTTTTCTTAATGATGATCTTTTAAATGTTTATAGCTTTCTGCATTTTAGCTGTCTTGCTTAATTTGTGTAAGCCTGCCTTGAATCCCAGTCTGGGCAGAAAGGCAAGATCTAATCATAATCAAAATACGATGCAGCAACCCCACACCTTGCAAACCAGGGCTCACTTACATCTAAAGTGCCAAACCAGGAACCCAGCAAGCAGGGAGAGGAGGAGGCAGACCAGGACGATGGCTATCGCCGCTATGCAGCGCTTGGGACCCCTCTTCTCCACCTTCTTGGCGTTCATGGTGGGGAGGAACTCCAACCCTTCTTCCAGGCCGTTCATATCCTAGGGCGAAGCAAACACGGAATCAGGCTGCCATCCCAACAAGGCGCCCATGTATGCCTCCCTCCTGCAGATCCCACCCAATGACAGGGCCGGCCCAAGATATTTCACTGCTGGAACAGGAGAGCTCAGCCAATTACTACTGTTTATTGAATTTATGAATCTCTCAACATGCAAGGAATATCCAAGAGAATCTGTTCCCGCAGCTGAGGAAGGAAAGCCCACAAGCACCTCTTTAAAAAACAGAAATTGAACAGCCAATGCAGCTCTCTTTTCACAGCGCCCCCAAATTAGCCGTGTTGGAGTCAGCTGTCTCACCAGGCCCAATGGGAGGAATGGCCCTCTCCCAGAGTGTGGATTCTGTTCCGTGGATCAGCGTGGCAATATTGGAGCGCTCTGCTCTACACTGCCTTGTGGCATCAGGCTAAAAGATCTCTCCCCAAATCCAGAGCCATCCAGTTGTTTTGAACCACAGCTCCCAGCAGACCCAGACAAACATCTGGAGCTTCGGGTGAGGGCCAGGGACTAGTCAAAATTCCTTTTCCTAGCACGATTCTTGAGGCTCCCAAGCAAGGCAAGAAGGCAACAAAAGTGCCTTGAAGTGGCCCATGGGAGTTCCAATTTTTTATTATTATTGAATTTGATTCGATTCATGAATCGTTGTCCACAGAATTCCTAGGAGGCATGTCAAAGTAAAAAACTGTAAAAGAACAATTACATCTAGCTATCATACAAACAGTGACAAATCTATTTTCCTTTCATTCTCCCCCCCGCCCAAATAATTAAAACAAGAAATAGAAAATGATATAAGACAGCGCCCATCACATCAAATGGCAGGGAGTTCCGCAGGTTATTCATGCACTGTTTGAAAAATGACTTCCTCCCTTTTGTCTGCCCGAAAGCTAAAGCCAGCCCTCAAACCGGCTGAAGTTCTAGCTTTACAACAGACAGAGGGAAGGCAGATAAAGAGGGAATAATGCATTAGAAACAAGAGAGGCTGCTCCATTAGAGTGCTTAGTCTGCTATCAGCCAGGCTTTACCTGCCTGCCTTTTTAACAACCAGCCAGAGAGGAGGGGACCCTTTTCAGGAAGCACTACTAGAAAACTAGAAACTGCTAGCCCCTATTCCCCTCACAGACCTAAGTCCCCAGAAAAGAGGGCTTGATTGTTCAACCACACTGGCTGGAATGTGTCCCTGAACTTCTGGCTTGTGCCAGAGAAAAATGTGTGCGAGAGAGTAGAAGCCAGCCCACCGCACAAAAGGCAAAATGCACACCAATTGCTCCACCCATTTTTGCCCCTGGCCCTGCCTTCCACTGCCATGTGGCCCCCAAGAGGTTCCCAGAAGGGAATGTGGCCCTCAAGCTGCACAGACCACCCCACCCCATACCTGTTGCAAAGGGGAGGAAGACAGAGAGAGACTCCATCTACTTATCCAAGGCCACATTAAACTCATGAGAAATAAGCAAAAACCAAACTGGGGGCTTGCCAATTCTTCATTCCTCCCTTAGGTCATACAGTGGTACCTCGGGTTACAGACGCTTCAGGTTACAGACACTTCAGGTTACAGACTCCGCTAACCCAGAAATAGTACCTCAGATTAAGAACTTTACCTCAGGATGAGAACAGAAATCATGCAGCGGTGGCACAGCGGCAGTGGGAGGCCCCATTAGCTAAAGTGGTACCTCAGGTTAAGAACAGTTTCAGGTTAAGAACGGACCTCCAAAACGAATTAAGTTCCTAACCCGAGGTACCACTGTACCAGCTTAAAAAGCAGCAATCCTATAGGAAAACAGCTGTCAAATGAGGGCAGGGGGGGAGCCACTTCCCTTTCACCTCTACAACCCTGAAACTGTGAACAAAGGATCTGCCCCCAGAAGGCACAAACAGACACACTCATCCCCAGAAAGTGCAGCGGAACAAGACGTGTTGCTCACACACTTTCTGCAAGAGTTTCGGGGACTTCCGTGTTCCTTTCTGGGCTGCCCATCCCTGCTCAGGCAGCACCTGCGGAGCAGAACCAAGCCAGGCCGGCTCAGCCAGGCCACGCCTCACTCGTGGTTTGCGCTTTTGGCGTCCACAGCTCCAAGGTGACAGACTTCCGCCTGTGAAGTCAGCAACTTTCAGCTGACTGAAAAAGATCAGTGTCTCTTTCTCCCCCCCTCCCCTTTTGCCCGGTGCACTTTCTTAGAAGCAAAAGACAAAACCTACATTCTCCTTTCTAAGAACAGCCAAAGAGCCTGATGGAACAAGTCCATGGCCCATCTAGTCCAGCATCCCTGCTCTCACAGAGGCCAAACCAGATGCCTCCAAGGGAAACCCACAAGCAGAATTCGAACACAAGAGCCTTCTCCCCTCCTCTGCCTGTGGTTCCCAGCATTCAGAGTTATTTACTGCCTCTGGCCGTGGAGGCACAGCATAGCTCTCATGGCAGGTTCCCATTTCTCTCTCTCCTTTTAAATCCGTTCTCAAATCCCACCTTTTTCCTCTGAGGACTCGGATTCGAACGCCTTAATCCTCACTCGGAGCTGCGTGACTGAGCCGAAGGACTAGAAACGTGGCTCACATCCGCCTCTCGTCACCCTGGTCTCTCCCCACCACCGCCTGTTCTTTCAGAACGTAGTGCCTTAGTGAACTGAGACCTCTGCTGCTCACGCAAAACCAAGGCATTCAGTGCTGGATGAGCAAGAACGGCAGCCGGGCCTTGCACAATGACTTTATTTTCGGCTGCTCTGTCTGTCCGCAGCTTGTGACTGACAGACTTGAATACAAGGCAAGCCGCCAGGGTTCTGCAACCGTAGCCAAGCATTGGTACAGGAAATGGTTTATTTACAGGTCAATCTGCGGCCCACCAGATGCTTCACCGTGCTGTTTTTATTGTAATCATCTGTATGCTTTTAATCAATCATTTATACTTAGATATCGTTCTAGTTCTATAAAGCTATTGTTGTTGTTTTCCTATGTTTTTAACTGTTTCTATTTGATCCGTAAGCCGCCTCAAGTCCCTGAAAAAGACATGCTATAAATAATAATAATGTGGTTGGACTCCCCCAGCAGCCCAAGGCAGCGTGATCAGTCACTGGGGGTGGTGTGGGTTGTGGTTCAAAAGCATACCGAGGGCCGTGTGTTTCTTCCACTACTAAGAAACCAGAGGAGGAAGCATGCAGGAATCAAGGAGGAACTGGGCATCCAAACCACAGCTGCGTAACTGTCCTCTGTGGCAAAGCCATTCTGAGCACAGAAGCGCTCTTGGGACCCACTGAAAGGGGAGAGCAGCCTTCCCCCTCCACACACATCTGGTGCCCTCCAGATGTTTTGTACTGCATCACCCATCAGCCCAGCTGTGCTGCCTGGAGCTGATGGGAAATGCGGTCCACAACAGCTGGAAGGAACCAGGTTGGGGAAAGTTGCAGGAGAGCATACCAGAACTCTCGGTTTGCTTTGTTGTTTATATAAATTGAGCCTAAATTTATTTACTTACCTTGCAATACTGAATTTATTCAGTTTCTGCCAAATGGTTTATTTTTGAATTTACCGACATCGTTTGTTTCAGCCTTCGCTACATTGTACAAAAATTCCTGGAAGCGCAGCCAATTATTATTTTTATTTAATTATTGAAAGCACTACTGCCCTGTAAGGTTGGTTTTGGCTTAGAGAGAATATAATCCACCTGGGAACCATCACAATTTATATGTGGGGAAAGACAATACTGTACTTGGCTAGGTGCATCAATGGACTCACTCGGTGCAAGGCATCTTCCTGTCGGCAGGAAAGCAGAAGGGAAACAGGCCCTGGCCTCTGCTCTGAGTCCACTGGGAGACTATATCCCCTGCCTAAATCAAAGTATCAAGGAAGGGCTTTGAATGAAGTAAAGTCCCAGGTTCAATCCCTGACAACTGCAGGAGGTGCTGGGATAAAAAGCCTGCCTGAAATCCTGGCTGGCTGCTGCCAATCAGAGCAGACAACACTAAGCTAGATGGGGACAGAGGGTTTAACTTGGCATAAGGCAGCTGCCTCTTCTCCTCTTTCACTGCCTCTAATCATTTACTCAGGGCTCACTTCCTTCTCCAAGAGAGAGAGAGAGTCCTCTCACGCCGCTGTTGCGTAAGTCTGGTTTCATTCAACCCTGTTTGTTACTTATCCCTTTGATGACTCAGACCTCAAATGAAACACAGAGGAAATATGTCCAAGTTAGGCCATATGTGAAGTAGTTGGTCAGCGAGAGCCATTCCAGACAAGTTTAGAGGTTTAGCCAGAAGGGAGAAACTGCCCTTTCCTTCTTCCAAGCTGCTCCCAGGATCTGATTCAGTGACACCCAAGGCCAACTGAAGGTCTCCGGCCATAGAGAGTCACCCAGCTGATATTGCTTGAATTAGAACAGGGTCTCCCAAACCTTCCCCCACCCCCACCCCATGGACCACTTGACGACTGGAGGTCTACACACACACAAACACACAAATATAAAACAAATGTAAATGTGTGTGTTTTATATGTTAATAAATAAATAAATAAATAAAAATCACAGGTCTTGACAGACCACTGAATGGGTTTCCTGCCAGCTGTAGTGATTGCAAGGTGCAGCAAGATTTTAAATTCTGTAGCCGCGTCTTTTGTTCCTTATGCTGCATGACAATTTGCATTCCGAAGAATTCAAACTGTAATACAATGAAATGCAATGTAAGAAATAAAAGATGCAATGAGAAGACCATTAAAAATCATTAGGAACATTGAATAAGACAGGCGAGCTGTCTCCCATACTCAGCCACAAACGCACAGACAGGGATAGCTTTCTCGGCAGAGCATGAGGCTCTTAATCTCAGGGTTGTGGGTTCGAGTTCCACATTGGGCAAATAAGATTCCTGCATTGCAGGGGGTTGGATTAGATGACCCAACAATTCTAGGATTTTATGTCATGGGCTAAGTGAATGAAGCTAACAGGCCACTCGTGGTCCCAACAGTTTTGGATCCTCTAGCTTAGAAAAAAAGCATGAGAGTAGCTCAGT